GCCAGGTAGAGAAAAGGCAACACTTAGAATCAAGCCAATTAAAACGCTGCCCTTTTTCTGGTGGAAAAAGCCAGCAGACAGGCATGGCATTGGAAAATACATTTGTGTGATGTCGTCCTGGAGGAAAGACTTCTTTTGGGGATTGGTGAATGTGGCTGCACTCTTCCTCACCCTGGGCCAGGTATCCTTAGGGGAGCAAGCAGGGAGTGTTCAGTATGTCTTTGCCTAGAAGAGCTGGGGTTTTGTTTGGTATGTGAGAAGGCTTTGAAAGCTGCTCATAAAGCCTCACCTCTGCCACACATTCACAGCAAGGTCACCCAATGCAGGCCTCTGACATTTCACCATTAGCTTACTAGAACTACTTATCTGCAGGAACATAATTGACAGACCTGGAGGTTTAGCATTCCTCCACCCTGTCTAAATACTGTTTAGGACATTGTTTTCCAAAACAGATCACATATGCTAGGGATGAGGACTAGGGCACTTGTAACAAGTATGATCCCCTAAGCTCTCTGCAGTCTGAGTGTTCTTCATCTTGTTCCAATTTACATGAATTATTGTGTCATTACCTGTTTTAGATTTCACTGTATAAATAATTGGTAAAGAATAAATACATTTCTTTGGTAGAATTTAATTAGCAGAGGTGCCTGACACGACTCACTTTATGGAAATTGCCTAAGGCCAGAAGCTGTGATAACCTTTGTTTAGTCATCTCACTAATGGCAAAATGAATGTTGTGAATATTTCCCAAAATACCGTGGTATGGGCATTTGAAGAAACAAATTCTTTAGCAAAGCAAAATAAAACAAATCAAAACAAAAACAAACAAACAAAAATAGAAAAGGAAGGCTTAGTTCAACTGCAAATCCATGAAATGGCAAAGGGACACCATACTTTTTTGTATCTTAAAGCATCCCATTACAGTGAGTGAGTATTGTGCCTTTTTGGAGTCCTGTCCTCCAGAGCAAGATGATTAAATCACTGGCTGCACTCATGCACTACAGCCCAGCTTTTATAAAGCTGAACTACATAGCATTTGAATCCTGGAAATCTAAAACCTACAACATTATCTTCTTGTAAGTCCTCCTGAAATAGACAAGATGCCAAAGAAAATGGCATCTTAGAACCTTTTGCCAAAAGTTATCCTGTCCAGAGGCTCAACTGGAATAGCCAGACTGAGAAGTGATGCTGGGAACTCTTCTGAAATATCCAAGTGTAGCATGTACTGAATATGCATCAGAGGCTTTGGTATTCGGGTCATCTCAAAGCTTCAGTCTTCTGGTCCTGTGTCATTCTCTCACTGTACACACTCGCTCTATTCATGCTTTGTCTTATGCTGTGGCCCTTTAATGCTGCTGCTTGTAAAACCTCCATTTTGCTCTAAATTTGATTGTAATTTGGTCCACTCTTTGTGACTATTATGAGGGGAAGACTTACAAACCACTTGCGTATTAAACTGTTATTTTTTAGGTATCATTATTATTCCTGCTTTGAGAATGTTAAGGTGTTGTTAAGAACACATTTATGTTCCCTATGAACTGCCTTAGCTTGTGAGTGAGTCACAAAAATAAGTTTGGGTTAAAAATGCAAAAATTCTATTTCTTCTTGCATTGTTATGGTTAGGCTTTAAAAGACCTTACTTGGATATTTTAAAAATTAAATAAATAAATATGATGGTTTTTAACTGCTTGTTATTTGACAATATGAGGGTCAGTTTTCTTTGTCTTCTGAATGGAATAAAAATTAGTCTCTGGGTTTTTTTAGATCCATGACTCTGCTGAAAGACTTGTGCTGTCATTTAGCATGAATGTACATGTAGTTGTTGGGTTAAGGATTTAACTCTTTAGATGTGGTGGAAATAAGACACACATGTTTTTTTCAGGATAGGAAAGAGACAACTTTATTCAGAAATACACTTGTTTAAGTAGAAAGACTTGTAACTTCAAGGACAGAATAGAGATGATGTCAGAGAAAATGACACTTCTTTCCCAGGCTTGGTCACACACCGAAACAGGTGTCAATCTAATGTTGTTAATTCCATTTCATTTTCACCAAGTTATCATCCTGGGAGAAAATCTTCTTAACTGAAGCTGAACATGCTATCAGCCTGGGAACAGAGCTGAGAGGGCAGGAGAAGCTCCGGTCTGAGGATGATTTTCCAGGCTGTAATTTTCCTAGCTCTCTAACAATGTGTCCACATGTACATATGAGAAATAATCTACTGTCTCAGAATTCTTCCTTCAGTTATAGCCAGATGCTCTCTGCCAAACCTTCTGTGGTGGCTGGATTCACTCACTAGAAGGAATCCTGCAGGCATTCACATAATGATCATTTTAAGTGCTGCTCTTCAGTTTACCTTTCTGTTCATTCCATATGGCTGGAAGTGCACTCAGTGGTATTTCCAAAGGATCTCAGTCTCTCCCTGTCCTTGAGAACAGCACACATCCTCTGGGCACCAAGCAGCTGCTGTTTCTGGCAGGGGTGTCCATCCTTCTCTAGCACCTGTGTGTTTAGCTGCCTGTATGGCAATGCATGAATGCTGTGCATAAATGAGAATGATTCAATGTCTGTCTTACCCATCCATTATCCTTTGCTGCAAGGTCTTATTCCAAGTGTTTTACATTATTACAAGGAAAACCAAAATCCAAGCAAACTCAGCAATTTACAGTCAAACTAAACTTTTGTTTTCTTAACTGTCTGATTTCTGCATGAGACAGGCCTTGTGGGAGCCTATGGAAGATTTCCCTGCCCATTGTTTATAAGCATCCATATTATGTGAGAAGCTTTAAATTTCTCTGGATAAATTATATTTAGGTAAAAGACCGATTTTTTTTTAAATTAACATGTTCAATTAATAAAAATGTTTAGTTAGGTCAGACCTGCACTGCAAATTGACCTGTAAATTTCTGCTTTCTTCACATATGGATTAAAATTAAGCTTTCTTGTTTTGTACTAAGGGTTTTTTTTAAAGCTGAAAATAATAGTCAAAAGGAGTAAACAAATGTGGGATTGTTCTAGTACTCTGTTTCCCCATCACATGATATTCTAAAAATACAGAAGTACCCACAACTACTTTAAGTGTCAAAGAATTTCTGTAAAATCAAGTCCTTCAAATTTATCTGTAAAGCTTCTCTGAAGAAGAATTTTAATAGCTTTTTAGTATAGATTTTGAAGAGTTTGTGATTCCCCTGCAGCACAGTCTGGGCCAGACAGGACAACACCTTTTATAGAAGAAAATATTTTTAATGTACTTTCTACAGAAGTATAGAATATGGACAAAAATTAATGTGCTGTTGAGAAATCAAAGCCAAGGGGAGGAGCATCCTGTGGTGCCAGCAACAGAACCTGAAATGCTTCCAGCATGGATTTACTCAGCCCACTTTTCTCACCTTTGCTGCTTCTGCTCTTTCATACTAAATTTCCCTTTAGGAGGGCTGTGCTGGCAGAGAAAGCTGGTGCTGGTCAGCAAAAGCACACTGTGAACTTCCCACTCATAGTGTGCTTCCTCCTAGGCCACACACCCCGACCACATGATTTTATGATATCAGGGACTTTCCTGTGATCACAGGAGGATTAGCTCACTGCCCCACTGCTCCTTCCCTCCCTGCCTGAGAGAGGGGGAGCTTGGGACTGGATCCAAAACCAACAGAAGTCTGTGCACAGAATCTCATTGACTGACACTGGTTTTAAGTCAGACTCTAGAAACAGAGAAGTTTGCATAAAATGTGATCAACTGAAACACCTGCTCTGTCTTTAAGTTTCCATCTTGCATCCAGCAGTCCCATCAGGCTTCAGTGGCAATGTGTATGCTGGGACCTAGCAGAAACACAATTAGGCCCTGTAAGGTTTTCACAAAATTAAAGGTATACAGAACCTTTGTCATTTTCTGGCCCAGCCTCCTGCTAAAGGCAGGACTGCTAGCAGTGCAGTCTAGAGGACATTTAAAGGATGGAGGCTTTGAAACCTGAGTGGCCCATGAAGAACTGCATTACTCATCTGGTGAATTTCTTTTCTAGCATCTGGCTTAAACCTCTGAGGTTGAGACATCTGCCTATGCCACTGGTGGTTATCTGCCACTATGGAGAAGAATTTGTCTTTATCTTCATAACTAACTTCAAACAGCTGTAGGACTGTAGCTGGTATCTCCTCAGCCTGCAGCAGCCACCAAAACACGGGTGGCTCTCTCAGCCTCTCTCCAGGTACGTGCCCCAGGGCCCCATCCTGGTGGCTGTCCATTGTGTCCTCTCCAGTTTGTCACTGCTCTCTTTGAACTGAGGGCCCTAAAGCTGATTCCAGTATTTCAGCAGCAGCCTTACCATTTCTGGGCACTGAGCACCATGGCTTATCTCACTTTCCTGACTGCATTTCTAATGCAGCCCAGCATGTAATTTTCTCCTCTTGTGATGAGAGCACACTCCTGGCTCATGACCAGCTTGACTTTCACCCTAACCCCTCCATCCTCTTCAGCAGGGCTGTTTGACAGCCAATTGAACCTGACTTCTCTAACACAACATTACCCCACGTCTGCCCACCCTCCTACCAGAAACCCAGCATTTCTTTTCTGTTTTGAGATCAGCTTGGCTTAAAATGTTTTCGGGGTTTTTAATTTGTGCAGAGATCAGGATCAGCTGCACAGTGTGAGCACAGCTCCACATAATTCCCTACCTGGGCTGTATCCAATATGGTATTTTACACCTTTATATTTATACACTTTCCCTCTTGGTATTTCTTGATGTGGAAGAAGCAGCTGTCCAACCTCTCTTTCTGTAATTGCTCTCATCTGCAGTCACTAAAGAGTTACAGTTTGTGTATTTGACCAGGAAATGTGAAATGTTTGCAGGCAGCCAATAAAAGGAGAGATCAACAACCAGGCTGACTCACTCACCGGCAGGAAATCTACAGCTGTGTTTGAATGTAGTTTAAAGCCGACTCACACTTGGTATCACAGCAGTTTCATTCCATCATTCCACAGTTTTATGTTTCTGTTTCCAGAGGTAAGTTGATTTTTATTTCCAGTTTCTTTCCCTGAGACATCTGTATATTAACATTGTTTCTCTCACGGTAAGGAAATATCTTCACTATGAATTAATTTTTAAAAATTACCTTAAAATTATAATCTTGAAATAAATGGCTTTATAGCAGTCTTCTTCATGCCCCTGCCTGCACAGCTGGGCAAGGATGGCAAAGTTATCCACGACTTTTAGCATTGTACTAAAAAATAATGCAAACTGTTTCCTTGCATAGGTCACCTCTGGAATATTGATTTTGGGGGCTGATAACGAGATTTTTAAAGGATATGGGAGAAAAAGCATTCAAAAGAGCGGAATTATTGAAAGAATGTCTTGGTACCTTGCAATACAAAGATGTAGAAACTCAGACACAGGGAGAATGGTGCTTAGTATGTCATGACATGGCTTGTAAAATAAAAATTGAAGTGGTTTCTGTTTCGATTTTTAAAACTCTCCAATTTTATTAGATTTTGCAAATCCGAATAGGAGCTGATGATTGGCTTTAATTTTTGTCTAAGTAACCGGTTAGCAAGAGTTTTTAAAATGCTTATATTATTACTTGAGTCAATTTTAAATAAAAATAAATATTTTCAGGAATAGTTTAGGTGGTAAAACCATTATTTGGTCTTCCTTACACTATGGTTGGAGTTGAGTAAATTTTTTGGCCATTTAAATTATTATTTATTGCTGTTTAGAATAAAAATGAGTCATAATTTTGCTTCTGCCAGCATTTTGATTACCTCCTTTACATTCAGGATTGCTAGATTCGTGTAGTCTGTCTTTGCAACTTTAAGTAATAAATTGCTCATTTAGAAAATTATCTTCATTCAGAGGAACCTTTTCAAATTTTGTGAAATTGCTAACCTCCCAGCCTCATCTCTTCTTTAAGAAACTTTAGAGAAGCACCCAAGGCAGTTATTGCATTCCAACTACAATAATCTAAAAAAATGCAAAAAGTTCAACTGTGCTTTCCTACCAGAATCAAATATGGTTAAAGCTCAACTGGTAAAACAGCTGCTGCTTTTTGCATTCTGATTGTGGTTAGAGGCAAAACTGAGTTTACATTGTGAATGTGCCTGCAGGACAAGACTGAGATTAACTAACAATAAAATATTCATGAACTAGAAGCAAGATCACAGGCAAATTTATCTTCAGGCTTTTGTTTCTGGTTTACTTTTTTTAACTTATTTTACTTTTTTAACTTTACTTTTACTAGAGAAAAGGTTATCTGGGCTTTGAGGCCTTCTGTAGCCCAGGAGCACATCTGAAAGGACACAATTCTCATTCAACAGTCCTTCACAGTCACTTCAGTTCTCTCATTGTTTCCTTTTCCAGCCCTGGTCTACTGGACCCCAAAGGGAATCTTCCAGCTTGAGGAGTTCTGACTCTCTGACCACTGATCTTGCAGAAATCCTTACCAATGCCACCTGTTTTATGCCATCTGTTATCTTAGATTGCTTGTTTTCCTCCTTTGTCACTCCCTTTGTGGCTATCTCTAGTCTAATGGAGCTTCACAGATGTTCCTAGAAGTGTTACTCATGTAGTAGCAGGGTGATTTGTCTCTAATCCGTGTGTGTTGCAATGAAAAGGGTCTGAGAAGTGCAGCTGGCCCTGGAGAGGTCCTGCATAAACACTGTACTGCCCAAATTAGTGGCACAACTCCATTTAGCAGAAGTCTGACAGTTCACAATAGCAGGAAATTTGTTTTTCTCTTTGCTTTTGCATTTGGATATGATGTATTAAAGATGATATGCAAGAATGATGCAGAACATGCTGACATGAGTTACTGAATAATTGCCTTTTTAAAGAGAAGTGGAGAAATTATTTGCCTGACATGCTACCGTAAGATGCTAGTTTGTTGTCTACATAATTCAGTATCACCTTAAAATCACATTTTATATTATAAATACTGGTCTACTATTTCAAAGGCATCAGATGGAAATAATGATGAGCAATTAATTAGCACCTTGCAGCTTCAGATGGCAAATTATGGTCCAGACACTCCTTTGCAATTAGTGCATTTTTCCTCTCTTTGTAAGCAAAGCCTGACACAGAGTGGTGAAAAGAAGGCTGTTGCATTTGTTATTTGGGAAGTAAGGGGTGGTGCAACTTCACTGTGCTTTGGTAATTGTGACCAAAAAAAGTACCCTTTATTTTTTTATTTTCTGCCACATTTTTCCCCCAAGTCAGCCATCAAGAAATGGCCAATCCATTACCTGTGGTCGCCCAGGAAGATTTGGAAAGCTTCACCTTGACCAGGACAGTCTCAGGCTTTGCACTCAAAGCCTTTCATATTTCCTGGAACACTCCCATCTCTGTGAAGCTGCTGACCAGCCAGGACACTACAGACAGGTATGGGTCTTACCTGCCCAGCTAACCACACAGGTGGGCAGCACAGACCTGCAGTGCTGGCACCAGAACAAATTGTGGCATCTCCAGGATCACCTGATCCCTAAGCACATCTCCATTCCTGGAAATCCTCACCAACCAAGAGGCAACATGGAGGCAGTTTTAGTGAGAAACGAGCTCTATGGCTCTTTGCAATTTTTTATAAAGTAGAACTTAATCCTGAAGTCAATTAATCTACTGTAATAAAGTCTACAAATCTGGATCAGTAATACCAGTATGCTAAGGTGTTATTTTTCTAGAAGTCCTTAAAAAGACCTCAGTTGAATTTAATCTAAATCAGCATGCACAGATGAGAGCAGAGGAAATGGGATGAGGGAAGGTAATGGCCAGGATTATACAACAGAGGGATGTGCATGGAAGGTGTGGAAACACATAATTTCCTTACAAATGTGGATGTCACTAACAGCAAAAGAATACAAGTTATTTGGAGCAGTAAAGGAAAATCTTTGTTTTATTCTTAATATAGCATTTCATATATTCCAGCTTTTTCCTGCTTTCACACTTCAATCCTGCTTCAAACTGTGTTCTTATGTTCATATTAAAGCATTCAGAGGTCTTTCATATTCGATTAGAAGAAATAAATTTACTTTATATTAGAAAAATACACTACACTACGACTGCTTCATGTTCTTACAATTGTTTGGACGATTATATGATACTGGGTTTATTGGTAAAATAATATGAGCTTGTGCTCAACCATATGGTTCTGTCCCATTTCCACATGCTATACTCATCTCCTGCTGAAGTTTCCTTGTCTTATCTGCCTCTGACTTGTTTATTTTTTACAGGGAGTGGAAGTTGCTACTTCAGGACATAGCAAGTGTCAGACACTGTGAGTCTGAACGTCTCTTGCCTTTCCTTGGGATTTACCAGTACCATGGACTTGTGGGGATAGTGACTGAATGGATGAACAATGGATCCCTCCACTCCCTCATCCATGAGGTAGATAAAAGATGCCATCTTTGAGGTGACAAAATTAATTACCAGATCAGAGAACGATCAGCATGTAAATCATGGACAGTAGTCACAATCTGTTCTTCAGTTTCTGCATTGTGCTTCCAAACTGTAGTTCTGTTTGCTGTCAAATTAAAGTAGGAATAGTAACAACTTCAAGGTACCAAAACCTGTATTTTGTGTTATTCAGCATCAGCTGTACCCAGAACTTCCCTTTCCCTTACTCATAAGGATCCTGTCGGATGTGGCTGAAGGGCTGCATCATCTTCACAGCCTCGAACCTACTCTCTGCCACTGCAGCCTGAAACCTTCCAATGTGCTTCTGGATGTGCAGTACAGAGCCAAGGTAGGAGCTTCTTCCCTTAGTCCATCAATGTCAAATCCAATAATTGTCCTATTATTGCATATATTGATCTTAATAGTCAACATTTGATACCAAGACTTGTTATATTGTTACTAAAATTACTTTCACTCACATTTTAGATATCAGATTATGGCCTAACCAACTGGAGGAAACAACAACTGAGGTCAGACCTGCAGAGCTGCCATCAGAGAAACTGCCAGGATTTAGTGTATCTTCCTCCTGAAATACTTGGAGGAGGCCTCCCTTCCCAGGAAGGTGATATTTACAGGTAAATGGAGTTTCTAAGGGCACATCATACCTAGTCCATGCTGTGCTCTACAATGCTGCCAAAACACTTATCTCCAGAGATATTACAGTAAAAATGCCAGACATACAAAATGCAGTAGGATAGTATGGCACATGAGGCCAATTGCAGCAGTGAATTAAATTTTAAATTCCCATATTTGGTGAATAAGATACTGTTCTCAAAGTCAGTCATATAAATATTTATATAATGGACTTAAATGTTTTAGAAGTGTAACAGCTGCCAAAACTTTCAGATATATTTAGAAGCCTCATAACTGTTTAGAAGTGTGAACTGTTGTTGGCTTTAGTTTCAGAAAGAATCGTGTATGCCCAGATCCAGGTTCAGGTAAAAAACAGACCTTTCCCTCAATAGTGTCCCATTAAGATCCTATGGAATCTCTGCTGGGAGAAGTTACTGAGCCACTAAAGCACCTGTACTTGTTAACAAAGTGATTTATACAAAGGAGAGAGATTACTCACTAGCACATATTCCTTTTGGGTATGTTATGTGCATTGTGGCTGTCTTGATAAATGAGAGGATCTCTGGGTGCCACTGGTCTGGATGGACACACATCATCATGACCAGCACACAGAGCTGTGGAATAATATTTAAAATAACTTTTAAGGAGACCACTCCCGATTTCTGAACTTTTTTGAAACCTGCAAGTTTCAACTCCTGCTTTATTGTCATAGAGGCAGGCTCTAAGATGAGTGAAATAATGCATACACTTGAGGAGACCTATAAATGATGTGATTAATCTCATGTTGTTCACAAACATAAGTTTTGCACAGGAAGAGTGGAGCCTTACTTTCGGGTAGCATAATTAATTTGCCAAAATTGCATTCATGTATATGATTTAATGTGCACATTTATTATATAATAATATGCTGAGATGTGACTCAGGCGCTTGAGATATGTGTGCATCCATACGATGGTGCAACAGAGAAAGCAAAAATTTGTGTCATACATGAAATACAAAGTACATTTAAGTTACATGTATGTCCACATTACATTAATACTTTCCAGATTTTTATGTGAAAGTAAGGCAGAAGAGGAGGCTCTTCTAACCACTGTAATCATTACAGCAAGATATATAAATAAACAGATATCCTAGTTTATCCTAGAACTGCTTCTTCCCCTTTTGATTGATTTGCTTCTGACTTATCTGTAGACTATTTTTTCTCATCCAGAACGCTCTTTTCTGCCTCTGATTTTGAAGATTGATTTTTTTATTAAACCACTGTATTTTATAGCATCTGAGTTGTGGGTTATATGTATAGTTCTATGATCCCACTGCAATTATTCCTATGATGTTGGAAAAGGTAAAAGGTATTTGGATCCCCATCAAAACTTGCTGAAGAAAATAGAAACCTAGTGCACCAGAATCAAGTTTTTGTAGATTAACTGATGTGCTTGTCTTGAAAAACTCCAATGTCTTAAAGAAATAAACTTGCTTTTGAAACTGAGAGTGTAGATACAGATTGAAAACGAATGAATGATCTTTCACTGTTTTGCTGTTTTTTGGTTTTTTTCCAGTTTTGGAATCCTGTGTTGGGAGAGCCTCAGCAGACGGAAACCTTTCGAAGGTATTTATTGTTCATGCCAGACTTTGTGCTGTCCACATCCTGTCCACAAATTCCCTTATTGTAGTGCAATTATGATACAAACACCATCTCTTCAGATGTCCCTTTGCCTTTTCTTCCTGTTACAGCACAAAGGCCCACATTACAGGATGCAAATATTACAATTCCTCGCCAGATCCTAAATGTTTCCAAAGAAGCTGCTCTTTCTGAAGGGAAAAGGCAGAGCTTCTTCCCCCACTAGTATCATCAATCTGTGCTTGCTGAAGCATTGTCACTGAGTTGGGTTTTATGTACCTTTAGTGAGAAGGAATATCGCTTCATATTTGTCAGCTGGAATTTTAAAATCAGTGACAAGTAGCTAATTGAATGAGCAGAATACTAATTTTAGGTTGCTGTGAGTTTCAAATAGCAATCCAGGAATGTCAGTTCATGATGAATTATCTTAAGGAAGCAGGGAGTCTTACTTTCTTAGACTAAAGTGTGAGCAGTTTTAGAGAACTTCATTTACAAAGCATTGTATAATAACTGTCACTGTCTAGGAACAATCCCTGTTTCATGGAAGTGGAGATCAGTAAGGGCTTCTTTGCTATGGGCTTCATTCTGCATGGCAAGACTGATTGAAGGACTCCTGTATTTTACAGATTCAGGACCTTAAAAAAATACTGCATGGAATAATATTTAAATGCCCATACAGCTTATGGCTGTCATCTTGAAGCTGCTCAGTAGATTCCTTTATTTTACAATTCTTTTGTTCTGTTCTCATAATGCAAGTGTAAGGCTTTATAAAAAACTCTGCTCAAAATAATAGCATGTATTCCTGAGGTATCTGTGCATGTAGTTCACAGTACAAGTTTGCATAACCATTTGTGATTCAGTATTGGACAGAGTTCCTTATCTGAAAGGTCCTATTGCAATAAGCAGCTATAGCTATTGTTAAAGGCTAGCATATCTACTTACAAGAGCATTAATATATTTTTCCTTTTAAAAAAGGAGTCTTTGTTTTAAAATGCACAATATGACTTACATTGGATGTAATTTTGAAAGGTCTTTAATATTTTTTGGCAGTGACATTTTATTTTAAACTGTAGGTCAAACAACCCTTGATGTTTTGAGAGGAATCCGCAACAGTTTGCGGCCAGGCCTGTCAGAAAAGTTCATTCCAAGCAATTTGCCTGAGAGGAACAGACTGTTGCACCTCATTGCTCTGTGCTGGCATCAAGAACCAGATTACAGACCACATACTGCAGGTAACATTCAGGAGTTCTTTCTGTGCAAGATTTGTAATGGAGTCTTTACAGGAACATTGCTCTAGCACTCTGAACAACTGAAGTGGAAGTGGTCTTTTGGTCATCTAAGACTACCTTAGATGTTTCCTCTAACTGAAGCTTCCTACCAGAAACCGACTTATTTGTCTCCAAAATTTTGTTCACTATAAAGTATGAGGTGCAAATTGGATTAAACTAATTTCCTCTATTTCATCTAATTTCTCAATATAATAGCAAAGTCAGTTGCAATATGATGATGCCTAAATGCATATGTGCTTTCATACACAATGTGGTATTTAAAATGCTTTATTACCCCTGCAGAATGTGTGCACCTTCTAAATGGAGTTTTGACTAGTATAAATAAGGAGGTAATTTCTGCAGCAATCTACAATTTGATGGATGCAAAGGTCAGTACAAAATTTTTTGTTCTCCTACAACAACATTACTTAATTTGGTCAATTGCAATCTTTCTGACCCAAAACCAGTAAAGGTTTTGTCTTGATTGTTTTACTGGTCAGGCCAGAGAGCTGGAGAGTACCTTTTGGCACTTCAGGTTCATTCAGAAATTGTAGAATATACATTGTGAGGTTCTCTAGAAAATTAGTCAATTGCTACCTGCTATTTTAAAAATACAACTTATTTCTAGTCAGCACCTGTAGTCAGACTGGCGAACTCATGTGAGTGAGAGCAAACATCAGCTCAAATACTGCAGATTAGGGCCAGAACCAAGGACAGGTTTTTTGTACTGAACAGCTTTTGTTCCTGTGGTAGCAATAGCAGTAACAGCACTTCTCTGTACCCTTCACTGCTTCTAAATTTCCAGGTTTCAGGCAAAGACACTTCTCGTTCCAGGCTCTCAGTGGCTCTCTAATACCCCAGCAGGAGATGGGGAACAGCCAGTGACCGAGGGGATAGAGCTAACTCCATATCTGCTTACACTGCCATGGGAAATCTGGCACAAATGTGACTGTCACAAACACAGCTACATCCCAGCTAGTTAACGTGGGCACTGAGGGAAACAGTGACACACGTGCTTTGGCCCTTGGACAAGGACTCTGACTAGCTGGAGTTACACAACCCACGCTGTGTTGTTGTTTTCATTACTGTTTGTTGTGTATGTTGATGCATGCTGGACTATTTCTATGTGTTGCAATCACATTCTGGGCTTATAGAACAGCCTCAGTCAGTGTTTTAATGGGTAGCATAGTTAGAGTCCAAGTAATTTTTACTACTGTTGAAGTTTATTTAAGATTGTGCTGCCAAATATTCCATAATTTAATGCTTTGCTCTCCCTTGAGCAAGGTTTTATTTTTTTAACTTGTTAGATTGTGAAGATTTATTTTATTAGTGAGCAATATATTTTGTTCAAACAACTGAACTGAAAAGTCCAGAATTACTCTGAAAATTATACTGAAGTTTCTGGGAAATTGATTTACAATTGAAGCATAAAATCTAAAAAAACAGTTTAAGAAATCTGCTGTGGATGTACAAGCTGGAAAAAAGTTACAAGTGTTGACACATCCTTACTGCAGACAGTTTGGCACACTGAACACAGGATGGCCATGCTGTTTGGCTACTCAAAGGCAAACATGTTCTAGCTAGCCCAATCTCTTTTAATACAAGCTTATTTTCACCTTCCTCTGCATGATTCAACACTTGGTTTTAAAATAAATTTGAAACACTGGAAAGAGTATCAGGGAAGGATTTTGTCAGATTCTATGCCCATTTGCTCTGTGCAGTTCACTGTTAATATACAAGAGTGTACCTTGCAGTATAATATATATGTTGCCAGTATAAGTTATGTCACTATAAATTGCTGCTCCTGGCAGCTGTGAATGGAACAAACCATGTGTACACTTACTGCAGCTCCTGTGCTTTCCTTCTTCCAGGAGAGAGCGCTTAATGCATGCAAAGGCTCAGAGGTGTACACACTGCTGAGAGGCACTTGCAATACAGAGGTGAGTCCGTGGCACAGGACTTTTCAGTTCTTCATCAGCTGTTTATTTCTCCTGACAGCCCTGACACTGTATAATGCAAACACTTGGGCAAAATGTTTCTAACCAGGATAGCTCCATCCAACAAAACCCACTGTTATACCTTGCTCCAAGCAGCTCGCTCTGACGTTGCTCTTGCAAAAACAACCTCCTCCTCTCAAGGATTGTTTTGAACCTCTCCTGTTTAGAAAAGGTTTTGGAACAGAAGTTTCCAAGAAGATAACTCTTCTCTATTTTGATCTCTTTCAGATCATCTGTCCACAAAAAGACAACTGCTTAATCAGCAAGAAAATTCCTCTTGTAGTGCCAAGCTTGTCAACTGTTCTACTTGATAGCAGTGGAAACAGAGCAGGAAGAGATAATATTGAGATGGATGTGTCAAATACTACCCCACAGAATGCAACAGCAACAAAAGGTCGCTGTCTTGAATTATATTCAGCTCCAGCTGTTATAAGGACAGGACAAATATTACTAGTTGCTCCATATAGAAATGTAAATTTTCATGTAAAATTGTCACTTCTCAGAGTAAAGCTGTGCTCTCTACTGGTATCATCTGAAGCATGAGTTCACTGCAGGAAACCAGAGACACTACAAAGCTTTCCACTTACATGTATAGACCAAAAAAAATTTACTAATTTTTTTTTAGACTACTGAGCTGTAAATCCAGAGCTGCCTTTCTCTTACACATCAAATATTGCCTGTTCCTTTTGAGAGAACAAATCCCGGGGAATCACGCTGCTTTGTGCCACCAGGAATAACTGCTTTTTTTTGTAATCTGCTAAGAAAGGGAGATATGTTTTAAAAAGGCAATGTTGCCAGGAATGTATGAATAATTCCTGATAATCACTGTTCCTATATAGATAACTTTCTTTACCTTTCCAATGTGGGTTTGTCCTAAGTGTTTAAATTTGTGTCAAGAAGAGATTGCCTGTATTACTCATGCCTTCAGGTATAAAAGTTGAGACATCAGAAGTCAATTCACCTGTAGCAACATCTGCATTTCCAAGCACTTTAGTTCTGATCAATAGCCATCAGACTTATGGACAGAATAAAATGTTCCATATCTTTAATAACAAATTCCTATAGACAGCTTGGAAAAAGTCAGATATGTGTAGTAATATATGCCAAAGTTTTCCTAGGAATAATGATGTATTAACAAGAGCCAAAGTAATCTCAAGTCAGTTCCTGTCTCCTGTAGTGGCTGATATGTGTGTAATGTTTTCTTGTTGTTCAATTCAAAGATCTAATCTTGCTCATCTTTAACTTTTTCTAGATCACCCAAACTCCAAGAGAAGAAAACCAAGCTCGTTTTGCACAACTCTTTCATCTGGTATAACTGCAGGCAAAGAGAGCAGTCAGCATAACTCCCCACCACTGGCTCTTATGCACAGACCACAACCAGTGCACCTTGGACAAGCAGTGACAGGTAAGGCACCATTGCCACTCTGAGCTGGCAATATTCACCTTGGCCAGATCTTAGTGATTAAATTGTTTAAAATTTGGAGGAAACAGATATTTCTAAATTTTGTGCACATTTCCAGCTATTTAGAGTAATAGCTGATTCTAACTTGATACAAAATGTCTCTCTATTTGTGTATAGCTGCTCCTCTGTTCTCAGGCTCTCTGTTCAGGCACTGAACACTCAGAACATTGGCTTAGTTTTCTTCCAGGGCCACAGTGAGGCTGAAAACAGTTCTGAAAAGACAGTAATAAAAATACAAAAACCATAGCACACATTGAATGTGAAATACATTAGTTGTTTAGGTCTGTAAAATCTTATGATTTTGCAATCATAAGCTGTGTATTGCTTTCCTCTGCAAAAGTAGTTATTGACTAGAGAAACAGGTGACAGGGGACCCTTCATCCCCTCACATCATCTCAGGTCGTCCTGCAGAACAGAGGCAGAAAGGGTCAGCTTCTGATTTGTGAAGACTCTGCCTGTGGGTGAAGCTTTGTGAGGTTTTTATGCCAACTTTTTGCAAACTGCCCTACAACAATTCTCAGCCTAGCTGGTTGTCCTTCTGCATGGCAATTTACCTGAGTGATGACATAATTTCTGGATAAATCAACAGACTAGATCATGCAGGAAAAGTTCATCACAGAACTCTCCTGGCAACAATCAGAAATCAGAATGACAGAAGCATGTTCTCCAAAGCAACATGGCTTTTGGTTATTAATTTTCTCTTGGTGTATGGTATTTACTGTACACTAAGAGCCCTACTGTCAGCACTAGGTATTCTAATCACCTCCTGAAAAGAGGCAGAACCCAAAGCTCTCAACCATTTTATCAAGAGTATTACTTTTGTTTTTAGTTTGGCTTGGACATATATTCATTTTCCCAGTTTCACACTACATTTTTCAAACACTCCTGCTACCCTGAAGTACCTGTTATTTGTCCTTCCACCTTTATAGGAGACAGCTTTCTCATCTGTGTCCAGCCAAGATGTATTGCATAAAGTTAAATACACATGCTAGATGAATTGGGCAATTGTGTCCCCTCACACAATATGAGCACTCAGTGGTTTAGAGACATCTATTTGCTGTAATCCGATCTTCGTGAGTTTCAAACACGAGATGAAAATACTTTTGGACTAGTTTCGAACACAGAATGCAAGCAAGCTAACTCTTCCTTCCTTCCTTCCTTCCTCTACTGAGTTTTGATTTCTGGATGAAAAAACACTCGGTTTATCTCATTTTGTGTTCCTTTCACTCAAGGTCTTTGCAGCAGAGGAAACTGCTGTCATATCCTTGCCTGCCAGAGACAGACCATACTGAGCTGCATGACAGAAGGGCGCCTCAACCACATCCTGGACGTGCTCCGCTCCCAGCAAACGCTGTCCCGAGTGGACTATGAAAGCATCACCTCGTACCCCACAGTGACCGGCCGTGCACGGGCACTGCTGGACACTTGCCTCTGCCTCGGTGAGAGGGCAGCACAAGCTGTAGTGACTGCACTTTCAGTGAACAAATGTAGTCCTCTGGGACAAGTCATTCACTGCCCAAACTGTCCTTCTAAGATAAACAGGCTGTTGTGACTGATTTTTTCACAGTCTGCTGTATGCATCTGAGCTTTAGTAATTTGTGATGGCAAACATTCACGTTAGTGTGTCACAACCATCGACTAAAGGCAATTCTTCCTACAGCATTATTTGAGTACTGTAGTGGAAAAAGCTAACTGGATTAAAAGGTCGAGTCAACTGCTGCCAACAGAAATTGCCAAGACTGGTATAACAAATTCCAATTTGGACCTCAGAGATGGGAGAAGTGCCATATGTGCCACAGCAAACAATGTTCAATTGAGATGACACCTTATCTCCTTGATTTTTCTGTAGAAGGAATGAAAAAGAATCATGACTTTTTGAGGTCACAGCGTGGAAGAATGGCTGTTTATAAGTACTTCCAAAGAAGGATAATGAACAACAGAATACTGGATGAGGAGAAAACATTTACTGCTTTTCACTGCACTCATATCTGAGCCAGTTGTTAGAGTGAGAGGCTTCAGAGAATCAAGAAATATTTCTTCAGTAGGGTCTTAAGTAAGGAAGTTTTATATTATGCATATAAATTACTTAATGTTCCTCACAAATGGTCATATGAAAATGTAGCAGTACTTCCATTAGTACTTCGGAGATGTGAGACTTGGAGCACTCATTAAATGGAAAAATGTTCATATTTTACATCTAAGTATCTCTCTAAACATGTCTGCAGTTCAAATGTAAAACTAAACCAGGCAGAAGAGGTGCCAAGCTGATAATTTTGAAATGGTGGCTCTGCTGAACTGTTGTCATGGTTTTACTCTAGTGGGAAACAGCCTGGGCAATACTGGGAGGTTTTCTTGCTCTGGCCTGGACTCACCCGTGTCACAGATGCTTTGGAGCGTCCTGCTGCTGCTTCAACTCATCCTCAGGTCATGGACCCCTTGACTTGAGTTCACATGGAGTTCCAGTCTGTCCAGTACAGCAGCACAGAAACAGTGCTGTTCTCAGAATGTCCCCAGGCACAGCCGAGTAAGATGATAAGTACAGCAAGCAGTGAAAGCAACAAACCAGCCACTAATGAGCACCAGACACTTGTGTACAGAAGGCAAACAAGTCCCATGGCAAGCACAAGAGTCTGTCAACAGATAAACAGCAACAGCAGCTATAAATGTGATCCAGCACATTCCAGTCAAATCTATTGTTACCTTGAACCCTTCAAGCCTCACATTGGATGCTGGAAACAACATTTGTGGTTTAACCCCAGTGGACAACTGCGGTCCCCAACAGTAAAGTGAGAAAAGTTGTTGACTGAGATCCAGACAATTTAACAGGTAAAGCAAAAGCTGCACACAAGCAAAGGAAAACGTGGAATTCATTCAGCACTTGCCATGGGCAGGCAGATGTTCAGCCATCTCCAGGAAAGCAGGGCTCCATCCCTGCAATAACAAAACAATGCTGTTTTCTGTACAAATTCAAAATACAGCCCCCTACTAGCTCCTATGGAGAAAATTAACTCTACCCCAGCCAAACCAGCATAATTTGAAAGGGAAATAATAAGATTACTTTCTTTACAATGAAAAAAATTATATAAGGTGCTCGATTTTTAAAGGCCCAGTGGGGTTTCTTCCAGCTTCATGGCACCAGATTAACATGAGAATTTGTTATACCATCTACAGGTTTTTCAAATGCAAAACCATGTTGTTTCCCTATGTTGGTTTTGTTCTCTCTGCAGTTTCAAAGTTCTCATTGAATTCAGTTGTTTGGCTGATTGCAAATGCAGTAATGATGTGCTGTCTAGGCACACTCAAGAAATAAGAAATGTGTTACATCAAAATTTCCAGCTACAATGCTGCTGGAACCATAAACATTTTTTTTACATAATTTAATTGAACTTTGAGACTGACTTGAATTAAAATATTGTTACAATTAAAAGCAATGTCTATCTGAATATGTTGACAATAGTTTTGCTTATTAAAGGAGCTAAATATCTATTTCACAGCTGAATCTTTTTTTCACATTAAAATCTATACTTTAAATTTCAACAGTCTCTTCTAAGAAAGGATATTTTGCTTGTGAGGAAAAGAACTACTGTCATGGCGTTTTGCCTTTTTAGAAGGCATAAGATAATCAGTAAAACAGATAAACATTCACCTGTGGGAAATAGTTACAGAACTTTAAAAGAGAAACTAGCAATACTGTTGAAACTTAATAGCAGCTTTCAAAATGATTCTATTTAGTTGTTCTGCTGGACACTTGCTGTTCTGCTGCATACTCCTGTGAAAGATGTGCTGCCTGGCAGGCTATGCCAATTTTTTACTATTTAAATTTATTAAAGGAATAGTAAGTAGGCAGATGTTTATTTTTCTGATGTATTGAAATGTAATTTTCTTCTTGGCACTGGTTGCTATCAGCTATCTTTTGCTGATTTGCAAAAAGATGACTGGCCCTTGCCCTTTGTCCTAACTACACCATGCTTTTATCTGAGATGGGATAGTTTCAGCAGTGTAAGAATGTCTGTACGAGAATTTGTTTGAAGTTGATTTGTGGACAATTAATCTGAGGTACTGGAATGAAGTGTTTTAAGAGATTAGTCCTTCCAGTAGGAAGCAAGGCAAACAAAGCTATAAATACCACTCAAAAGTCATTACCAGTGCCTGTTAAAAACAGTTCCAGAGAACATCAGAGGAAGATAACAAGTGCGTATTCATAAAACACTAATAAAAAAATTAAAAAAATGCGTTAATGGACTGCTAACATATACAGAACAATTTTACACCACATAAGCAGTCTAAAATGCACAAAACCTAAAGCACTAATGAAAACATACTAAACCTCAAGGGTTCTTATTTTATTGTTTAAAGTCTGATCCTACATAACCTTGTAAAATTTTCATGCTTGCCCAGATTTAGTCACTTAAGAATCACATGTGAAGATTTGTAAGGAAGGTTAAGTGCATAAATAAATACTTGTGGGCCTGGTATGTTAGGAAAGGACCCAAACATCATCAAGGCAGGCACAGAAAATTTAGATTTCTTTATTGCTATTTATTGATTTCAGAGCTATATAGCTATTAATTATGCTCTTCTCCAGTAATACATATTGTCTCCAGGATTGCTGGGGTCTTTTATGCCTCAGGAAATCTTGCCTTGCACTATACTGTCTTTAATCCTTTTCCTGCACACAGCCCTGCCTGGCCCTCCCCCACTTTGCAAAATACTTTACTGGTGCTCAAAAGGCCCTAGCACAGTTTGATTTTGTTCCTCTTCTAGAGAAGCAATTCCTTCATTGCCTGCCTGGAACTTCATTCCCTTAACTGAGCACATAGTTGACTTGACAGATGGTATGTCAGCTGAGTTAAACAAAACTCCTGGGTTTTGAAGGTAAGTCCACCATAAATTAAACTACCTGACGAGGTCTGAAAAGAACATATTTCATTATTTATTTGGGTTACATTAAATTCAGCACAGCTGCAAGAACATATTAATTGTAAGCATTTTACTTAACCCCAGCAAAAATGGTAGATCAGAAGCTTAGATACACAATTTCCAGCTCTTGTGCTGATAATGATTTGTGATCAGTATTTTATTTTCTGCCTTTATTTGTCTTTGCCAAGAACACGTGCCAAGTAATATTACAGAAATATGTAGCCTCAAACTGCCATTTCCCCTGGGCTTTAAGAATGACCTTTCTTCTTTCAGAAAGGACAAGCATCAGTTAAAGAACTTCTGGACTCCTTCAACCAGGATGAATTAAATGGCACTAATTTAGAATGAGAAGTTGCCCCTAAAAATGTGGTAACATGCCGAAGTATCTCAATACTTACATCCAACTGCTGTACTTGAACTTTCCACAAAGCAAAAGCAATATTCCTACAAGCAGAAAGCATGCCTGAATTTCACCCTTTCAGAAGTAACCTGGCTGTACTCCAGAAAGTTCTGTATAGTTAGTTCTTTCTTTAGATACCAAGAAAAAAAGTGCCATATTTGTTAACAGAATGAATACTAACATTAAATTTGTTGTCTTTTGGGCAAAAAGGGCCCAAAGCTTTTTTTTTCAATTCATTAGAATCTTATCTGGTGGGGGAAAAAAAAAGAGAAAGTTGACTAAGGAATACACCTGGAAAATATAAAAAAGCCCAATTGTATGAGACTTTGGACCTTGTAACAGCTGCAAACTATGTTCCTGAGAAAATTGTCTTTATGCCACTTCACGTGCTGTGACAGGCTCCTGTCACAGAACAGGAACTGGAAGGGGAGCAGGGTGAGGTGAGTGCCTGCCGTGCTCACCTGTGCGTGCAAGGTGCCAAAGGAGCCCTTGCTTTGCCATTGCCTGCAGGCAGTGTTTTATCAGAACTGTGCTCAGCTCTGAGCATGGCCTGAGGAGAACCCAGGAGAGAGGAAAGCTGATAAGCAGTGAGGACACCTCATGTTAGGGACAAGCTGATAAAACTGTGTGTGTTTGGTCTAGCAAACAGGAGATGAAGGGCACACAAAAGAGTCTGGAGCACAGGCACGGAACATGCAGTGAGGAAACAGAGCACCTGGTCTGTTCTTCTGCTTTGTCATTCTGGACTGGCTTTCAAGTAGAGGCTTAAAAAAGATTTAAAGGACATCATGAAGACAGGCTCCTTTCCCATACCCAGAGAAATTAGCAATATTCATGGAACTTTCTTTTACCTGATCAAGAGTACTTTAGCTGATGAAATTCCTGCAAACAACAGTGATTTACTAAAACTTTTCCCTCAACCTGTTCAGTTTATTTATGCAAGTTATAAACATTTGAAGTTACTTAAGAGAAAAATTTAAATGATTTTGCTTGGAACTAAGTAACATGAATATTTATAACTACCTTGTAACTCAATCACTATTTATTCCACTAACACCTACCTGTGAAGTCATGGGCCTGTTAGCAGGTCAGCTGTCAGGACAATGGAATAGAGATAACTTGAATTAAAGAGGCCTGGAGATTATTTCCACCCTTTACAGTGCTGCTATGAATTCTTCAAAGAAAATAAGGCTCTCCTATATTTTTGCTTCTCAGCAGGTCATGGTTGGTCATCTACTCTCAAATAC